GCGCCGCACCTCGAGGCGCGTGCGCGCGACGTTGTAGGTGTGCATCGCCGCCGCCAGGCCGCGGCTGTCGCATGCCGGCATCACCGCCGCCAGCGAGCCGGGGCCGTACACCTCTGACAGCTCCTGATGCACCAGCTCCTGGGGGGTTGGGAATTGGTTGGGTTTAATGGATGGCAGGGAGCAGGTGTTGCATATCTGAAACATTGGGGTGTGTGTGTATGTGTGTGTGTGTGTGCGTGCGTGCGTGCATGTGTGTGTGTGTGTGTGTGTGTGCAGATGCATGAGTGTCTTTGAAAGCATGTGGGCGTGTGTGAGTTGAGGAGCGGATGCGTGTTATGTTTGTGGTCATGTGTGTGTGAGCGATAAACATGCCTAAGTGAGGCCGTGGAGTCTTTCGAGAAGAAACGGGCCTTGCCACCCAGGTGTGAGACATCATGTGCCCCATAGAAACAACAATCAAGGGACAGTGGAGTGCGCTGAGATGCGGCAAGCGGCCGCAGCGCCCGCACGCACGGCGGTGCCTCTGCTGTCGTATTGCCCGCCCGCCCCGCCGCCCCAGCCAGGCGACACCCTCCGCAGCGCCCCAGGGACCCTCACCTCGACACCCATCCCGGTGACCAGCCGCTCGTGCGCGCGCCGCCACTCGTCGTGCCGCCTGGTCCCACCGCGCCGCACGAGCCCCAGCGCCTCGCGCCCCCAGCGCCGCAGCCGCCCGACGCCGCCCTCGGCGCCCGCCTCGGCCTCGCTGTACTGCGGCGCCGGCGCCAGCAGCCCGGTGGCGCTGTCCGGCGTCCGCTGCCGCACCTCCCCAGGCCCCGCCCCGCCCCCGGGGCCCCGCCCCGCGGCCGCCGCGGGGCCCGGCGCGCCGTCGTCAAGAGTGGACACGCGCGCTGTCGGAGGCTCCGACGCGTCCGCCATCGACAGCCGGACAGTGCACGCCTCATCAAACTCGTCCGGCCCCTCAAAGCCCTCGTCCCCTCGCCGTCCCTCTTGACCGCTCCCGCCCGCCGCCGCGGCCGCGGGGTCATCAGCGCCCGGCTGCCCCGACCGCCCCTCCGCGACCGGCCCGGGCGCCAGCTCAGCATGGAGGCCGCCGCTGCCGCTGTCGTCGGAGGGCGCCTTGCGTAAGTACGCAACGCCAAACGCGCGCTCCCAGGACTCCCGGACGCGCCGCTTCCAGGGGCCGGGGATCGCCCAGCCAAAAATGCCGTTGACGACCTGGCCAAGGGGAGCGTGACACGGCAGGCGCGGCGCGGTGTGGCGCGGAGCACTGGCGGCCTTGGGTGCAAACTCAAGCAGCGGCGATGCACGGCCCCTGTACAGAAGAAACGACAACACCCCTAGGGTGTCAACCTCACGCCATGCGCATGACATGATTAGCAGCAGATGTTGTGCATACAATGGCAGGCAGTGTCTGTGAGCCCCGCCCAGCCACCTGCAGAGCGCGGTTGAGTATGGTGCCCTGCGGCAGGCCGGGGATGTCCGTGACTAGCACAGTGCGGCTGGCGGCGCCCGGGGACGCGGCTGCCAGGTACCTGAAGGTTACGAGACACACCGAGCCGCGACGCGGGGGTGGGCAGAGGGGCTGTTTGGCATATCGCCAGCGGTGGGTTTCGCGCTGCTGAATCTCTCGGTGCCTCTTCTCAGTGCACTCACGACGACGACGCGCGTGCTGCCGCTAGAGCTCTCTCCTCCTTTCGCGCCATGGGTCGCGCAGAGTGCGGCCCCTTCCAACAGCGGCCCCCAAAAGGCCCGGGCAGGCAGCTGGTGGGAAGTTACCCCCACTTGCCCACCTGTACCGCAGCTCCACCGCCTCAGTCGAGTACCGCCACAGCAGCTGCGCATGCGAGGTGAAGGCCAGATGTCTGCAAAGCTCGCACAACATGACGTCATCGACACCTGTGCACGGGGCCGCAAGCACGGGCACCCACCAACCGCACAAGGCTGCAGGGTGCCGCTCCCCTCAACCAGACCGCCCCCGTCTCGGGTCCACCACTGGCGCCTGCCAGCGCCGCGCTCACCCGCATGGCTATGATGCTGACGACGTAGACCGAGACTAGGTGCACCCACAGCCGCCTGTCCCCCGGCGCCACGTTGGCCATGCTGAGCTTGTCAAGGCTCGAAAACACGTAGCTGGGGGCACGAGGGTGTGGCATGACAGAGATGTGTGCGTGCGCGTACGCGTGTGTGTGTGTGTGTGAGGGGGGAGGACGTGAATGACATGCAACGTCATGACAAGGCGAGCAGTGGTGCGCGTGCGACAGATTCAGAAGCTTCATGCGGCCCGCAGCCCAGGGCAGCTGGCCCCCGAGCCGATCCACCCAAGGCGCGCCCCTCCCCACCCCCTTGGAAAGTCCTCCGCGCCCCCTTACGTGTTGTTCTTGACGTTCTGCGCCAGGTCGTCCAGCGTGAGCCCCGGCCCCAGCTTGATCTGGGGCGGCGCGTCCACCGCGCCGTCGCCGTTTGCGTCCAGCACGCTGTCCAGGTTGCCGCCCGTGAAGTTCACCGGGAGCACGACGCCCACGCACCACAAGGTCACCCAGCTGAAGAAGGTCAGGCCTGCAGAGGAGACGAACAGGGCGCCGTCAAAACTAGCCGGGACACCTCCGACCGCCAGTTGCGCACGGGTCTGGCGCCTGCTTGCCTCCATCCGAGCGGTCGAATTCCAGCCGCGCCCCGCAGAGCACTGGGGAGTTGACCCTGATCAAATTGAATTGCGCATGCGCACGGTGTGCAGGCTTTCACGCACGCATGCATGCACGCCGCATGCCATGGCCCACCGAAGCGGATGACTCTGAGGTACATGGCCACGTCCAGCCCCCCCGTGGCGCGCAGCACCTCCGCCTCCCGCAGCCGCAGTAGGGGCCAGACCCACGTGAGCAGCGTCAGCGGCAGCGGCGGCGGCTGCGGCGTGCCGGGCGGCGGGTGGCCGGGCGGGCCGACGGCGACGGCCATTGCGTCGTCCGCGGTGCGGAAGCGGCTGGGGGCGTACCAGCGCCTGAGGGGGCGCGGCGGGGGGCGGCGCGGGAGCGGGGACGGCGGTGGGGCCGTCGCAACGAAATGTTCCTGAAGCCGGGCGCTTCACTACTTGCCCGGGCCCCGCCAGGCGACAGTGGCCGCGTCGCGTCGATCCGCGCAGCGCGTTGAGCTTGCGGAAGGCGCGTGTGCCAGGCGCAGCCCGAGGGTCGGGGTCGTACTGCCGCCGTACCTGCTCCAACGCGCCACGCGCAGGAGGCTGAAGACGCTGAAGCACCCCAGGGCTGCGAGTCGCGGCGCAGGCGAGGGCGGTGCTGAGATCGAGGTTGCCGCGGCCGTGTGCATTGGTGCGTGTATGGCCATGCAGCTGCGGGTGGCGAGCCCAGCGCCGAGCCGTGCTGGACGCGAGCCGCATGCAAAGCGGGGCATGCTCTTGCATCTTCGCAATCGAGCGCCTGTTGGCCGCGACGCGTCCGCTCACCGATTGCCATGTCGATCCCCAGAGTGACGCCCACGGTGCGCGTGTCGGCCGCCATTGTGCTGCGTTTATGCTGTACAACTTAACCCGCCAGTGTGCAAGAGGAAGGGCCCCTGGTCGGCTGTCACAGCTGAGCGGCGAGCAGCGGCGCAGGCGTGTTGCGCACTAGCGTGTCACCCTTCCGCACGCAGTCCGTCGGCTATGTTACGCTTGATCAATCCATCTCGAAGGCTCTGATGACTCGCAAGACGCTCCAATGGAAAAACGAGGCCCGCGGGCAGTGGTGTGACCCGGGTGAGGCCAGCACCAAGACGGGTGCAAGACTTATATACTAAGATGTAACGCGATCACAGGGTACTCCGTGCTCTCAAATAACAACTACGAGATCAAGACCCTGCATGCAGTTCGTACTGTGTTTGCGATTGCTGTCCGAGACCCGCTGATTGCTCCACAGGTCTTGGGTTTGCTTCAATTCTTATACAGATTGCTCAGAGAACTTCGTAGTGTTACACACATTCTCAAACAAGGCCTCTCCCTTGCGACAGTGGTTCAAGTCGTGAAGAGCACGGCCATAGCTGGTGGCCCCAGCTGATAGCTGCAAACGTCGTGTTCGGTCGAGGTGGGTTGAACTGGATGTCTCGAGGCTCAGCTGTCTCGCTGATCTCTGCGACCGGGACTATGCCGCGCACAGGCCGCGTGCTCTCGTCTGGAAAACAAGTAGCTTGAATCTTGAACCTCCCAATGGCCCTGAGGTGCAACCTCACCGTGTTGTCACGTGCTCATGGATGGGTGAGGCGTGCACGAGGCGCGCCCGGGCCCGCATGCGCCACGGCGTTGAACGAATGTTCCCAGCATCAAGCCGATCGCGGCGACACATCGGCGCGCGCCGCGACGCAGGACCGTGTGAGTTTAGCCCATGGGCGAGGCGGCAGAGGCCGCAAACCTTGACCTATCATCTGTCAAGCCTGGTGAGCTTCAGCTGGGCATGCAACAGGGCGCCACTGTGTGGCGCACATGCACAGCAGAACGAGATGCGGCAGCATCAGGGGCAGGCTTGGGATGGCATCGCCTGGAAGCCTGCCGCCACCAAACCCCACAGTCATCCAGCCAGCACACAGGTCAAAAGCGTCAAGCGCGGGGACGCGCAAATGCTTAGCTGTCCCTCTGACAAGGCACGGCGCCACGCGCCGCCCTGGACACACTCGGCGCGCCAGTCCCGCTCCTCACACGCGGGCCCCCCTTGCCGCGGCCGCCCCCAACCCTGCAGAGGATGTAATAAAGGAGCGCACGGGGGACGTTCTCTTGAAGAACACCCTCTTGAAAGCCGACCACTTCCCAGGTGCGCCGGCGCGATCACCCGAGGGCCCTAGGCCGCACAATTTCGAGCCTCGCTCACTGGCCAGCCGCTGTTAAAGACGCCCTGCCGCCGCTATGCCTGCGAAGTCATGCGCACGCGCTGCAACTCGGCCGCCGCTGCGCGTTCCAACTTGCTGTTGTCATTGTCGACCACACCGCGCGCAGGGTGCCAGAACACCAAGCTGACACCCCTCCTGGATGGAGCCCCAAACTTTCGCCAGGTGCGGCGCGGCAGCGGCGGCGCCGTGGCCCGGCCGTGCTGTGCTGTGCTGCGCGGGTGCCGGCACCTTCCCCACCTCGTGTGAACACCCGTTCTCTGCCTTCGCGCGAGATACACCTGCACCTTTACTGCTTGCATGCTTGCGGGCTCCCCCCAACCAGCTCCCACAAGAGCCCGCGGCACTCCCTCCCTGCCATGCGCCAGGTGGAGGGCCTACCTGTGTACGGCGTTGCCATCCCCACGGTCAGGGGCGTGCGCAACGTGCTGGACGCAGTTGGCAGCGCCAAGGGTGAGGGGCGGCCTGCAGCGGCCACAACGCGCTGTTCCCGGCTCCGGGCCTCGGCTGAGCGGCGGGGCCTTGGCCGGCTGGCGGGCAATGTCCGGCCAGCGAGCCCCTCCAGCATGTCAGCGTCTGCGGCAGGTTCCGCGTTTCCGCTGCCTTGAACCCACTGCGGCGCTCTTAAACCAGCCTCTCCCGTCCAGGAACCGCCTGGCGCCCCCCCCCCCCCTGCTCGCACTGTCGTGGCGGGCGCTCAAAACCCCCCTCCCCTGCATCGCAGGCGGGCGTCGCGTGCTGTGGCACAACCTGCGGGAGGAGCCCGTGCTGTACATCAACGGCAAGCCCTACGTCGTGCGGGAGGCGGACCAGCCGTTCTGCAACCTCGAGTACACAGGCATCGACCGCAGCAGGTGCGGGCCCTTGCCCCGCTTGGCACACCTGATCATTGGGACGGGAGCTGTGCGTTGGTGAACGCTTCACATCACCCGCCCTGCAGAAGGCCCGCTGTGAGGCTGCCAGGCTGTGCGTGTAGGTCTTGTGCAGACAAGGCTGCGCGAATCATTGCGTTCTGAACGCGGCGGATCTCGGCGCACCGGCAGGGTTGAGGACATGGAGGCGCGCCTGAAGGTGGACGTGCTGACGGAGGCGGCGCTGTTTGATAATCACATCCTGGTGACTGAGGAGGATGACGACATGCAGGTGTGCGTGCAAGCGCGGATGGCGGCAAGGACGCTGGCCGTGGGGCTGGGCGGTACCCAGGCCCGTGGGCGATTTCGACCGTTGCTTGCCCAGTTGCATGGAATGCTTGTCAAGGCCGTGATTGCCTTTGCTGTGGACAGGCGTGCATGCGCACCCAGATCAGGGTGTTATCAACGAGCTGTCAGTAAATAACAAGCGCTGGGTAGCGCGGAGACCGCAGGAAGTCTACATTTCAGCTTCAGCAAACCTGCTTTGCGCCTGTTGTGCCGCATGCATCGGACCGGCCCCTCCCCCAGGTGGTGGACCAGTGGGAGCCCGTGACTGAGGCGGACGTGCAGACGCCGCTGGAGGTGTACCGCGAGCTCAAGGCCGACGGGTGGGGATGCGGGCCAAACAACGGGGACGCGAACGAAAAAGGGGGGGGGGGCGCGCATGAGCGAGCGGCCCCGCCGGCCTCCTGCCGCAGGCCGCATGCATGGGACGCCCGCACGCAGCAGTGCAGGCCCTGGCGCGCGGTCCAAGTAGTGGCGTCGCTCTCCCGCCTCTCAAATCTCGGGCTCCTTTGTTGGACCTTCTTGGCCCCTCTCACTGGCGACGGCGCAGGTATGATGTGGAGTACACCCGCCTGCCGATTACGGATGAGAAAGCACCCAAGGACTCCGACTTTGAGGTGCGAGCAGGGGCAAGGGAATGCCATAGACGCACAGCTGGGCGTGGACCTTGCCTGGTGCCCGCCGCTTCCCCTCGCTCCATGTCATGCTGGTTTCCGAAGTTTGCTCCCCAATATGCTGACGCGTGCGGCCAATTTGCCACCGCAGGTCTTTGTGCGGCGCCTGTGGAACGTGCCGCCCTCCACGGCGCTCATCTTCAACTGCCAGATGGGCCGCGGCCGCACCACCACGGGCATGATCATCGGCTGCCTCGTGCTGCTGCGCCGCATGGGCGCCTTCCCTGCGCCCCGCGGCCCCAGCGAGGCTGGCGGTGCCCCGGCCCCCAACGCCACCAACGGCGCCGCCGCGGCCCCGCTCGCGCCGACGGCCGGCGCGCTGCCGCCCGTGCCGGCCTGGTTCGCCGAGGCCGCAGAGGCGGCGCCCGCGCCGCCTGGCGGCGACCGGCTGCGCGCTGGGCTGTGGGGCGTCGTGCGGAGCCTGCTGCGCGTGCTGGAGTCGGGCAACATGGGCAAGGCGGTCCTGGATTCCGTCGTGGACGCGGCGTCTGCGATGCAGAACCTGCGGGAGGCGATCGCGCAGTACCGGGGGCGCGTGCTGGCGGAGACCAAGGAGAGGCGCAGGGCCACGCTCGTGGCCGTCTGCTTGGAGTACCTGGAGAGGTGGGGGGGGTGCGGGGGCGCCGCTGGCCGCTGCCCGCTTGGGCGGCGCTGGCTCTCGCGGGGCGGGCCGCTGCAGGGAAGAAAGGCGGGAGTGTTTGCTCGGTGGGGGCTGTCCTGTCGCATTTGCGGCCCAGTTGGCATTTCTGCGAGGCTGCCCCGACTTCTGCCATCTCCCCCCCCCCTCCCAAAAACACACGCATGCGGACGTGCCCACCTGCGGCACGCCTCTAACGAAATGCGCCCTGCTGTAAACACACCCTCTGTGGTTGAACACCATTTGCAGGTACTACATGCTGATCTGCTTTTCCTCGTACCTTTGCTGGTCAAAATTTGACCCCGACAGCGAGCACCACACGGTGCGCCACCCGTCCCCCACCGCCACCCGGCCACTCATCCTACCTGCGCCCCGCGACAGGCAGCCCTTCTGCACGCGCCTGCTGCTCTCCCATTCGCCTGCAGAGCCTGATCCGCCTGTCAGATGAGCCATGCTCGCCGACAGCTTGAAACCCCTTGCATATTGCAACTCAGTTTTCCAAACCGCCTCTTCCCCGCAGCCCTACCCCGATTGGGTGGCGTCGCGCCCCGAGCTGCGCAGCGTGCTGTCTCACATGCTGCGCCGCAACCCCATGGCGGCGCTGGAGATGCACGTGCCGGCCGCCACGCTGCCGCCGGGCACGCAGCAGCGGGCGCTGGACGACGACGAGGCGAACGCCAGCCTCATACGCGCGGTGGGTGGGCCGCACTCGACGGCCGGCACGCGCCGGCGTTTTGAGGGACATGCCGCGCGCGGTAGAGTTCCTTGTCTGCGCATATCTGGCTCAACAAGCAGGCCACATGCAAGCCCAGGCAAAAACAGACGCGCCACACGCGCGTGTCTGTTTGTGTGCAAACAAACACGCATGCACACTCACGCATCTGCATACGCGCACGCACGGCCACACACGCACGTCCACACACACATGAAATCCCGCACTGAGGAAGTCATGGTTTGCCATGCCACATGGATTACCTTGCTGTCCCCTGCCCCCCCCCCCCAGGCCGAGGATCAGGCAGAGACCATCATATCTTCGCGCGGCGGCCGCGTGCTGGGGGCCCTGACCATCCTCAAGGAGGACTACTTCCCAGGCATGAAGTCACACCGCCTCCCACAGGTGGGCTGATGTGGGCCTGAGGCTGCGCCCCAAGCGCCCCGCCGCCGGTGCTATCCCTTGCCCCCCCCCTGGCCGCTTGACGTCGCGTGTGTGCTTGGGGGGAGCGCTTGTTTAGGCAGGCGCGTGCGCATGTGCGTGTGTGGGGCGCTCATGGGTATGCATGTTTGTGCGCGTGCATATGCATCATGCCCTGGAAATTGTGGATTGTGTTGTTTGCCTTTGTACATGTGAGCTGCAAGCATAATATCCAGACATCGAGCGCATGATGTATGGTGTCCCAAGCGGCTCGTGCCCTATGCCCCCACCCCTCAGCCGCTGCCGGGCGCCAGCAACTTCCGCTGCATGAGCGGGGCGCGCGTGTACGGCGTGGCCATGTCGACGACGGCCGGCATCCGCAACGTGCTGGCGGCAGTCAGGGAGCAGGCCAAGCGCGAGGACGAGGTGGGCCGTTTACGAACCCTTTTAGGACGTGCAGCCGGTGGTATTGCAGTTTCAACATTACCTCTAACCCCAGATTCCAAAGTCCATGTCTGACCGAGTTGTGGCCGCAGGTGGTGTGCCGCTGCTTTGTCTACCGCAGGGCTTTGCACTGCTCCGGCTACCCCACTGTCTCACGAGCTCGTTATTGCTGCCGTCCTGCCTCGCATCCCTGTGGCGCCCCCCCCAGGAGCTGCTGTGGTTCAACATGAGGGAGGAGCCCGTGGTCTACATCAACGGCCGCCCCTTCGTGCTGCGGGAGCAGGTGGGCGCCGCCGCTCCACAGGGGCGGGCGCGGGGTGCCTGGGGCCCGGCCAGCACGCAGGGGCTGCCTCCCTTGTTCTCCTCGACTCTCTGTGTGTGCGTCCCATATCCTCAATCATGAAAACACTCACTCGTGGCCCTTTGCAGCTGCCATGCGTGCATACGGCTTGGCTTGACGTCAAGCAGTCACCCAAACCCATCCCTACCCCCTCACCCCGCACCCCCCAACCTACCCTTGCGCCCCCTAGGTGTGCCCCCTGAAGAACCTGCAGGAGTACGCGGGGATCGACGCCACGCGCCTGGAGCGCATGGAGCGGCGCCTCAAGGAGGACGTGCTGGGGGAGGCAGGTGGGGAGGGGGACGGGCGCATGGGGTTTTTTTAAGCTGGCTTGTAGGTTTGATTTAACGGTGGGGGCAATAGGCAGCAGGAGCCAGGGACGCAGCCAAATTGTGGGGGTTGGCAACCATCATCTTGCAGCTCATGTCGGTCAAGCGCCTCTGGGGTCGCAGGTCAAAGCAGCAGCATCTAATCGTGGGTTTCAAGTGTTACCCCCGTGCCGGAATCGCTTTTCCCGGTCATCAAAAAGCAGTTCTCACCTCCGCCCCCCCAAACACACACACACGCACACATGCGCACCCTCGCGCAGCCCACTATGGCGGCCGCATCCTGGTGGCGCGCGAGTCCGCCATCAGCGGCGGCGGCATCGGCGAGCTCATAGACACCTGGGAGCCCGTGGCCAGCCCCGGGGACGTGCAGACGCCGGCCGAGGTGTACCGCGCGCTCAGGGCCGAGGGGCACCGCGTCAACTACTGCAGGTAAAGGCGCGCGTGCGCGACGCCGCGGGGCTCTCGGACCAATCAGTGGCTCGGCCGCAGGCCAGGCGCGCACTGCAGCGGGCATCGCCAGCGAGTGTGGGCGTCCTGCGGCGCTGCTGTCACAGCCGGTTGCTTGGGCCTGAAGTGTTCACGCCGCTAATGCATCCACCGTCACCCGGGTGCAGGGTGCCTGTGACGGACGGGCGCGCACCAGCTGCGGAGGATATCGATGTCATCCTGGAGAAGGTGTGTGTGGGTGTGAACATGTGCGCGGGCTTGCCCACATGCGCGCGCGCACATGTGTGTGTGACACTGCACGTGTGTGAGCGATCGAAATGTGTTGCATGCGCATCTGCAGACACGTGCTTGCCGGCGGCCCACACCAGGCGATTGCCCAGCGCACGGCGCCGCTCGCAAGGCCTCACGCGCACAGACACGGCCCCTGCTGACGCGCCTGCCAGGCTGCCAGTTCGGATGCGCCCTGTCGAAGCGTCCTGTCGCCTCACACCACGCATCCTTCCCTTGACGCC